AGTGACAGAGGAAAAGGAAATCAGCGGGTTCTCCAAAGCCTGAATCAGAAAGTGTCGGTGTCTTCCGATAGCACTCTAATTCCGAAGCAATCGGGGCAGCGTTCTTTAACGCTCATATCGCAACCTCCACCATGTGCAAGTACTGCGTCTTCGCACTTGAATGAAACTCCTCGTACATTACCAGCCACAGTGTATATAACATGTCATAAATACTCCCCCGCGTAGCGACTCCTTTACCGATAATAGCGTTATTTTTAGGAACATTGCAGAATCTCTAGCTGAACTTCCGAAGGAACAAATGCTCGATGATCTCCAGTGATTTTAGGTGTGCGTCTCTAGCTTCCTTCCACCCGGGTTTCCTGGGGTTATTGTTAGAAAGCTAGTCAGGCTTGGCAATGTTCCAGTCGGAAGTACAAGCAGTCGGCCTCGTCTACTGTGGGTCGTTCTTTCTACACCGGCTGAACGCAGAGCGCCGCTGCACTTCGCCTTTAAGCTGAAGGTTTCAGAGGTCAGTGTTTAGCTCGACCTACCTTTGGCTGACAGGTTAGAGTTGAGGGAAGCCATCAAAATGTCAAAGCCCGTCGCGAAGCGGGTGGAAAGTGTCCACAGTTAGTGGGTTTTCGGGTGGTGGGCCGGCGGTCCATTTCTGCCCTACCGGAACCAATTCTGGTGGCGCACAACCTTGGGGACCACCACACCAGCTTCCTCGAAGTAGTGCTCGGTGACACGCGTAGTCTGCGAAACGGGATGTGCGAGGTGGGTGCTCTGGTTGACAATTCCCATCCAAATGTGCCCGTTTCCACTGCAACGTGGCTGTCCTCCGACGTCATTTAGGGTGAAGTATACTTGCCAGGCTACGCACTACTGAGAGCTAACCGCCCTCCCGACCGTCATGGAGGCGAGGTAGCATAGTACATCACTTTTGGCGTTTATGTATTGATAAGAAACACCTTTTTCTCTCCAGCTAAACGTGTTGATGCTCTTGCGATTGCAGTTGGTATTGCTTCAGTGGGATTTAAAATAATTTACTCTTATTCGCAGTCACTCAGCGAACAGGTGTTTAGTGATGGGTGATTTGAATATACCTGAAGTATGTTTGTTGAACCTCTCATGTGGAGTGGCTGGAGGCTTGGCCGCTGAGCTTGTTGATTTAGCACTGGAAGTACCTATGCACCAGTTCGTAGATCAACCCACTAGCTTCATGGAGAATCAGATCCAGTCCGTCTTCTATCTGGTAATCGCATAATCAGGCTGTTAGCTCACTGGAATCATGTCCACCTGTTACTAGTGACTCAACTGGCATGCCTCTGTTGCATGTATTTTCCTTTTCTTTTGTATTGCAGCACAATAGCTGAAGTGTTTTCTATCTGCAGCTAACGTGTACAATGATGATGATGACGATGGTTGCAACATAGCTTTCGTAAAGACCATTCCTACTTGACCAGTTTACTGATGGCACGCGAACGGTGGGCGAACTCTGTAGATCAGGGTCTAGCGGTAGATAATCTTTTCATAGACTGCTAAAGCATGTGATACCGTCCCGCATTCTTGCCTTTCATTAAAACTGCACTCATATGGAATATCTGAGCTGGTATTTCGATGGATATGGGCTGTTTTGGAATGTCTAGAGATGTCCGACAGAGTGAGCTCAAGCATGTCATTCGGACAACCTGTTCACGGTGGGGTTCCACAGGGATCGATCCTTGGCGCACTGTTGTTCTCTCCATATGTAAACAAGTTGCCCGAAGTTTTAGACGTGCCGTCCCTCATGTTTCCCTGTGACTTGAAATTCTGGTGCTCAGTGATCAACTCCGATCGTCCCCAGCATTTACAACAGCTCCTTGTTAAACTTTGGGACTGCTCTACTCTGTGGCAAATGCTCATTAATAATGCCAAGTGTTCAGTGCTGTGCCTAGAGTCAAGTGATCCCCCACACACTATCTGCATGGAGAACATGAGCTACCTCAGGTGTCCCAGTTGGTTGACATGGGTGTTGTTCTTTCATCTGATTTCAAGCCCGGCAATCACTGGAAGAAGGCCGCCTGCGATGTTTCAGACTACTTTGGATGATTCATAGGTCGTTCGGAATCCTTTCACCGGAAATGTTCTCCAGACTGTTTCCGGTCTTCGTCAGGGCGCGCTTAGAATTGCGTCCAAGCTTGTCCACTGTGCTTGGTTCGTGATAGGATGTCAGTAGAGCGGATCCTTAGTATTGGCACAAAAACGGTTCAAGGATAACGTCACCTGTTGTATACTGTGAGACTCCTTAAGCTCGGAATGTTTTCGCCGCACTGTCACCGACGTCGCGGCGATTTGGTTTTGACTTATGGTATTCTGATGGACGATTGGCTCTGATTTGTTTTGGCTTTTTGAGCCAACCCTACTACCATTTCTCTGTGGTCATTCGACGAAGTTGCACAAACCACAATCCGATGTGGTTTTGACCAACGTTCGACTGTCACGTAGAGTAGTTGATTCATGGGATGCATTATCTGAGGAAGTGGTGTCATCACAGACGGTGAAGGAGTTTGAGTATAAACTCGACACCCTTAAACTGCAGTTCCAGTCCTTCCATTTCACGGCGCGACATCACTCTCACCCTGAAGGGTAGAGTGTACAATGCAGCGGTACGTTCGACCTTACTGTACGGTTGCGAAACCTGGCCCCTAAGGTCGGCGGACTTGAAGAGGCTAGCTACGTTCGACCATCGGTGCCTTCGCAGTTTGGCTCACATATGGTGGGCACACTGCGTGAGTAACGAGCGTGTTCGACGCATTGTTTACGGCCCAGGAAAAGGATCTGAACCGCTCAGCACCGTTATTTCCCACACCAGACTCCGATGGCTGGGCCACGTGTTACGCATGCCAGCCCACCGACTCCCTCGACGTGCGTTGTTTGCTCACCGGGGATGTGGGTGGAAGAAGAGGAGAGGTGGCCAAGCAATGACTTGGTCCAGAGGAATGAAGTCCCTCACTTCGGAGCTAGCCTCGGTTGGAGCTTCACGGCTCCCTGGTTGGGGTCCAAAAGACGGTGAACACGTTTGGCTGGATACACTTGCTGATATGGCAAGGAGCCGACCTCAGTGGCATTCCTGCTGTGAGTTTCTTTGTCCCTCCTCATCTCTTTTGGTCTCCCCATCCATCTACGATCTCATTTCCTAGGGTAAAACATAATAAAAAAATTTCTTTTTGTCTGGTAGCTGGCTGGAAGCTTACCGGAACGATGCCTATCCGTTGCTGGTAGCTCAGCTGGCATGCAACTGTTGTATCTATTTTTCCTTTGTGTATTGTATTATATGCATGTATGTATGTATTTCTTTCATGTATTGCAGCACAGTAGCGGAGGTGTTTTCCCACCTCTAGCTGATGTGTATGATGATGATGATGATGATTGGTTGCACACATCTTAAGATCCTTATGTGGCACTCACTAATCAAGATGAGGTGAGCACCGTTCTCAACCTCAAGGATGAGTCATCGTTGGTTGTTTGGATCCCCGTTAGCAGCCGCTTGTGTTTCCCGGTTTGATACTACTACTACTACTACTAATAATAATAATAATAATAATAATAGTAATGTGTCAGCTGTACGCCGTAACGGCGCTTCGCTACCGCGCGCCCACCACCAGTCGCACGTGGGCTGAGTATACTGCGAGGACTCCCACCCCTACCTGAGGCTGAACCACGAAGTAGCAAAAGAGGCTTTTTGTTTGTGGTTTCCGCTCGTGCCACCACCAACTGCAATTCTGATGCTGCCAAGGACACATTTTTCAACGAACTGAACACGCTACTACTCAGTGCTACCAGTTCAGATATCATAGTACCTGCAGGGGGTATGAATGCACAAGTAGGTCGCTTGAACTCTTCAGAAGCTTTGCTAGGTGGTAATTATGGGGTTAGCTCCGAACAGACCGCAACGGCGAGCGTCTGTTGCAACTGTATGCAGAGCACCAGTTATGTATTAGTAGCACCGCCTTTAGATACAGGGGGCACCGAAGTGCCACTTGACGTCCTCCTGTAGCTGCCCACCGATGGACCCAAATAAATCACATTGTCATAAATTACAGGTGGCGTGGTTTTATTCTGGATTGTTGCTCTTCCTGGAGTACTTGCGTCGACTCTGGTTATGCTTTGGTGCGTCGTCGTTTTTCAATGAACTTTGCCGTTAGGCTTACCAAACTTCTTCGATTGGTCAGTGTAAAGTTATCCCACTTTTCGGTTAAACAGGCATACAAGGATGCCCAAGGTAAGGAACACTCACCGTTTCACCCCACTGACATCGAGCTTCACTGCATAGTATCTTGATCGCCATGCACAACGCGGGATCCTCAGCTACAGTGACTGGATATCCGAGAGATCAATGAACTTGTCGGAATCCAGAAGAAAACCGCTTGTTGCTTCTGAGCACTGTAACCAGACGCTGTCAGGCGCGTACTGAAGCGGAATCTGCTTGCTGACGAGAAAGCTTGGTGGATGAGTATGGCTCAAAAAATGGAGCTGGCGGGAACAATACGCATTTTCGCTGGCTCTTCTAACTGATCCGCACCACTGGTCCCTTGGAAACCAAGCGTCAGTGAGACAATATGTCAGAAACAATACGGGCGCCAGAAATCACGATTTGTAGCACCGGTTGGCTCGTTGGGCGGAGTGCCTTCGAGATCAGGTAAATTGGTCGCTTGATACCGGACCTTTTATTATTCAAGTCCTCATTATCAGCATCAACAGCAGCAACAACAACAACAGTATATCAGCCATTTGCACTGATGTTTCGCTGCCGTGCAACCACAATAACCTGCGGAACGAAGAATACTTAGAGGCAGAGAACGGGAAGTTGGCTTTAGCGAAAAGATGGGTGCGAAATTTGACACCCTTGCGTCTGTTCTCTTTCATTTGTGGTTGCCACTACCACCTAATTATTGCGTCCCTTGGTTTCTGTCCGATGGCTTTGTGTTTTATCTGCATTTTTCCACCGTTCGTATTTTTTCTGTCATTTATTTGGCCATATGGGTAACTACAGTTGGTTACGGAGCATTTTGGTTCTAAAACCAACCGTATCTTATCGTAATATAAGTAATTAGGGGTTTCTTTGCAACAACTTCCAAGTGAATCTTCCACATGGCCAGAAAATTACTAAACTTTAGTTTCGACTTGTTTGGCTTCCTCAGTAGTGCGTATCCATGATCGACATCAGGATCCGACCCCATGACCATTTGCAGCTTGCACCGCTGTCCAACTGCTCATGCTACACTAATACATGAAGTGCAGCGGTGGACCGTCATAATTTACTAGTTAACTGCGCCATAGCACAACTCATGCTCCACTGCACGACAGTCCGCCGATTGGTGGCATGAGATGCAGACTAGCGATTCAACGGGTTCGGATCCTGATTGAGTCGATGGACGCGCGCACTACTGACGAATTCCGACAAGTCGATACGATCGTCTAGTGCTTTTTCGAGCAGACTGGTTGGTTTGGAATCTGCTGCGAAGAAATTCCCATTTACTTTTGTCGGAAATTCCATACTTATGAGTTACATTGTGCTAAGCTGTTTCTGGCGAGCAATGCAAGATTTTCGCTCACTGTTGTTCTGCTGCAAAATTTTATTACCATATATTACTGGACATAAGCCCGTCCATGGATAAGCCGACCGTATAACTGCAACATCGAATATGTACAAACTTGTAAGTCTCTGTATTAGCCGACCCCTAAAATATCATCAGAAGAGAGACAAACTTCTTTCCCTACGGTTTTGACTTCATCACTACCTGCTCTCACTTGGGCGAGTTCAACTAATATCTACTCTACTATTGATCAGTTGTGACGACCGTAATGTGTTATACTCGCGGTTACTGGAGCGTAGGGCCGTCAGAGTAGACGTTCATCGCACCGGACAGTGTAGTAATGAGACGTCAAGTCACGTGAAATAAGTGAGATAGCCAAAAGTATAGTCGGGGCCCTCATGCATATGAACCACGGTATACCAATGGGTGAGAGCGAAGTTCACTGTCAGGGGTGTAGGACGCTGTTGTACTTTTAAGCCACCGAATCGCCTGGCATAACATACTGTTTGAAAGCTTTTGATTCGCTACTGTCATCCGTCGCAAATGTCAAATGTGCAACATACCGCTACTTTTCGGCACAAAAGTAGTGTGTTCAGTTATAGGCACTTCAAATTTCGGTCTGGAATGCCGTCCGTGAATGACGTATAGTGCTAAGAGGGGAAATGGCAGTGTTGGCCGTAAATTCCCGGCTGGATTTTGCATGTGACTGTATAAGCTGACCACCCCACTAAGGAAACGAAAAATTGTCCAAGCATCATCGGCTTATATTCGTTACTATACGGTAGTTTATCGACTTTTTAATGTAAGGACCGATGTTGAGTAGCATCAGTACTCCTACTTCGCTTTATTGTCTCAAGTTTTTCTTTCTTCCTGATCACTGATATTCGATATCCTCTCTTCTCTTACAGCTTTCCTCAAATCCATAACTGCTTTGGTGTAGTAATTAATACCCGTACCCTTCTACTCTTCTTGACTTCTAATCGATGTTCGGAGCCTACAACCGTCAACATACTTTTCAAAAATCAGATTGCTGCATTGCTCCACACAGCTGTAATGGGGCGTCTCTGTAACCAATGAAGATTGTGCACCTCGCGTAAGTGACGTGCGGTACTCCTAATCACTTTCGTAAAGGTGTTTTTCACATTTTTGACACTGCCAATCCGGTTATCGCCAAACCCTTGATTCCAAATCATTTTAAACACCAGTGTCTGCAATTACGAACGGGCGACGAGCGTGGTGAATTTGTGGCGCAGCTTTCACAGGTCAGTCGTCATTTACATCTTCCGGGTCCAATCTGATTTTGGCATTTGTTTGTTGTTAATGCATTCACAAAACTATTCATACTCTGTTCGAGAAACAGTCTTCGTTCCCTCTGTCGAGACATCAACTCATCGGTCTAGAACAGTATGTGGAACGCTGCAGTTTGGGTCACAGGAGCAGCAACTGTGCCATTGAGATAAACGCTGCTAGCTCGCTCTACTCGCTTAAGATTGCAAAGTCCAACCCATCTCTTGTTGGAATACCTTAATTATCACCGACAGATACACATCAGTTATTCGACTCGATGCTGCAATGCAACAACCATGACCTATGAAGTGTGGAAGAATAAGAGGGGAGGTGACTTATTGCAAAACCTAAACGCCCTGAACAAACATTTAGAAGCAAGGCGTCTACGCCTTGTCCATAGCACACGGTCAAAACAGCTGTTTATCATACGAAGACAGGGTTGCATCGGGACTTCGAATACTGCATTATAATCAGCCATTATCCCTCAGATAAACCAGTATCAGACACACGTGGGCTTCTACCAGGCAGACGATGCGAGCTAATAGCAATCCATTCGGTCCTCAGTGTTATCATTTTCCACTACCGAGCCAATTCTTGACATCCACGAGCCCTACATCATCTAACATCCTGCACTTGTTTAATATTTGTGAGGTCTGTCGGTGGGTATTTGGCATTAAAACCTTTAGTTTTTCATCAAATCGTCTGCTGAACTTAGACTGGCTAACTCATTTTTCGCACTGCTGGCTGTTTTGGTGGTTATCGACACTACACACGTTTGGACGAAGTCACAGCATCGTCAGTCGATTGTATTTCTCTGAATCTTACAGGAACTAACAAAATACTGAGCCTGACTGTTCATCGTCCTTATGGACAAGACCATCTGGATCGGCCTGGTCAGCGCTTAGGAACTATGTCTGCCACTTGCGGTTAAAAAGTGATGGTTTCTTGTTTCTAACAGTAGGTTCGGCCATTCCATCTTTTCTGAACGATTTTACGCTTAAGGTTATATCTATCATCTTCCTTTGTCGTTCTTTGATGTGGATTTTGGTGGTCAACTACATCGATATCATCCTTTTACTTGTGTCATATAACCTGAGCCAAGTGTATCCGTGGTTTTGTGTGTCCACGCTTGTTTGAATTACATTCTTCCGTTCAGCTGTTCATCTGCTCCGTTCACCGGTGCCCTAGGCTAACTCACTTTGTGTCACATGCAGCACACCATATAATTACAAAGAGATCTGGATACTGAGACAGGGCAATGGATCAGAAAGAATAGTCGTCAGGTGTGTTAGTGGAAAACATCATTGTATTAGTAACTGCGTCCCCTTCTACTCAGTTTCCAACCAGTCGTTAAACCATTCCAAAAAACCCGCCCAAGGATACGACATCCACCAACCCAATCGTCATTCCATTATGTTTCTTCACACGTCCTTTTGTCATGTCATTGGTTGTCTACTTTGGAGTTTTACCCTACTAGGTACGGTGTTATCGTACAAACCGAGTAACCAGTTTTTAATGTGTTAAGCACATAGTGTCGTTCAGCAAGCCTTCCATTGCGCTACTAGACGGTCTGTTTCTGAACACAAAATACCCGTATTCCGGCGTTGCTCATTCGGTACCACAAACAGTGTGGGCATGCTTTGAATACATCGGTGACCAAACGCGATCTGGCTCTCCATGCATGTGGCTCACAGTGGGAGAATTGAACTACCCTAGAGGTCACTGGATCGGCTGTCACGTGAACCAGTGATTCGTTGATACACGTTGCAGGAAAACGGCGTGCATTGGATGGGGATAAGGCTAACACCTGGAGTTTTTTCACTAAATTCTCCGTTCAATTATCTATGCTCCGTGTTCTGAAGTGCGGGAAATCCCGTTGCCTTACTTCATTGCTTTGACGACACATTCTTTAGCACATTTTAGCGATAGAACTGACCTTTGACAACCACCGGTATAAGTGCATTTTATCTTCCTGTACTCATCATTGATGCACTACTGTCCATCAATACCGACGGTGAACGACCACTGGGGCCAGCCAGTGTGTTCTGTTTCTGCCGCATTACATCGTCTCAGATCTCTCAACTGTTTTTTGCTGTGATTCCAGCGTCTTATGTGGATTCGTTTGATTTGACTGATAGTTGACATAGTACAGGCCGACTGATTCGCCCTTTGAAGTTATAAACAGCTCTTGCTCCTGCATGTGGCTACCGAGTCCTGTGTTGATTTTCCTAGGCCCTACTGTACATGAACTATTATTCTTGACATGATGCAGATGCTTCCCATGCGTGTTCACTTCTATGCCCGTGGCTTCAATCAGCAACTGGTTAGGTCTGACGGGTCTCCGTTTTATTGTTTTGGGACTTCATAGCTTGACCTTGACGGTTAATATTCACTGTACTTTGCCACGGTCGGCGATGTACCATAGCGCTCGCGCTCTGAGCCTATTGGGCATAGCTCATCTGTTGCAAATTATGATTTCTTTTTAAGAGTTAGAGATCTATAGTCCGCTGAGTTTGCGCCGATTCGAGACCAAGGAGTTCGTTGGTCCTCCGACCATAAGTATTGTCCTAAGTCTCAGGTGCCCTGACTAATGCGACGAAATTGCACATTAAGGTCATGTGGCGATTTATTTATCACTCCGTTTTATTGAGCCACGCTGTTTCGTGCCCTTCATCGTCTCGAGTTCGTCTAGCCTCCAGCCTATGAGCAGCTTCATGTTATGATGATGCAACTCAAACCACGACCGCTTAGCCTAGGGATTCCCACTTAATCTATGGCTCAAATTGCTCTCACAGCCCTCTGCCGTGTCCACGCTGCCGTCTGCACCCTTTTTAGCCTTGTTATTTACTAGATTTGGTGACACCATATGAAAAGAAAGATCAGCCTGTTTAGACCGATAGAGGGAAGGAATTGTCCCTCACCTTTCTGACAAATCTAATCTCACAGCGTTACCAAAGAGGGAAAAATGCACCTTTTTGCATGCCGAGGTGGTTTCAGCTTGATACCGATAGTGCCGAAAATACTGACCTCCATTCCCATCCATATAGCGAAGAATACCTATAACATGCTGGCGACATGAATGCCCTAGTACCTCAACTGTCGGATTCCAAACAACACTTAGGTGGCGGTTTCGGAATCGTTACACGACTAACCGACAGGGGATCCATTATCTCGACTTTGTGATGACCGCAGTCTCTATATTATCAGCACTGTTTTCTAGCACAAACATTCGCATCAATGGCGCCCACCAAACCCAATGGCATGGATCCAAATTAGCCATGTTGTCATCAGCTGTAGATGGCTCAACCCAGTTCAAGAATGTCAGTCACTTCGCTGCATGTAAATGGAGTCTGATCACACCTAGTGCGTGCACATATAGCACTTAAACTCTGGGATTCCCACGAAGCACATGACTTCAGGCTTCTCTCTCGTAACATTGCAATTGTGGCTGAAACCAATGCTGACTGGAAACGCTATGATACCGGTAGGCAGATGGCCACTCGTACACCACGTAGCATTTCGCTATGTGCCAAACTGATGCAACTTAGCCCGAAAGGAAATGAGCATGTCATTGGAAGCGGATTGGTCAGCCGAACATCGAATGGTCTGCGCGCGCCCACGTCGAGCTCTGCGAGGGCGGCCGACTAACTGAAAAAACATCCACTGTGTGTGTTGATGACCAATCAGGCGCCGACAGGTCCCATATGTACGGGACGAATTCAGTCTTCCCTGTCCCCGTGAGAAGCGGATTGGTTTACCTGGCTACGAATAGACTGTTCGCACCTGAGCCAAGGGGAGGAGCATGTGACCAGATGGACGAGGAACCAACCGAGCCAGTCGTACAAATCACCCAGCAACGCGGCTCGAGGTACGTTGCGAACGAGCATAAACCAATGAAAATAGAGCCAGCAACATAGGGCAAATAACAAGGGTGGGCCAGTGGAATGGGCACTTGCAAATAGTGTAAATACTCGAAATATCCATGCGTAATCGTAATAAACGACTTCGTGATCGCGGCCGTCTTCTTGATTTACTGAGGTGTACACGACAAACATGGACTTACAGTTGGCAATTCAGCAATATTACGGCCAACTGCCTTACCACTTAACCGATAGAAGAGGTAGGTATCGTCTCAGACATCAAGCATCAATTCCTTTCAACTGAAACGTCCAATCATCTTACGAATCTTTGTCGCGTCGATTAGTTTTAAGAAGCACGTAATCGGTTTCCGTTCGGCTTTCAATTCCAGCACGTCCGTAGCACTCTGAAATGATGACCGACTAAGAATCCGTGAATTGACCGGGAGTGTTGGCGGATGACAAGAGGTCCTGGGATGAGGAGAACCAGTGCTATTAAGAACCGCTTAGTACTATTTCAACTCATCCGGAACACAGGCCCAAGATAAACCCCAGTTAGTGAGACAATCACTGGACAAGATGGGTAGTTGATCCATTCTCAGCCGCTTCAACTAGCCCGTTGGGCCGAATATATTGAACAGGAGTTCAGCAGGCCGTCTGCGACACTGCCGCTTGCTGAATCAACTGAGTCCACTTGAGAAATGGATGCCACACCTACTCTGACGTTGGTTCGTTATGAAATCTATATGTTGAAACGAAGCAATTTTCCTCGAACGCACAACCTTCCTCCATCTGGTGCATTGTTTACGATAAACATACCCCTTAAATGAGATAGCGCATGGCAAGAGCCAAAATTCCGGTTCTGTGTTTGCAGCATCTCTGTCTGCTGAAGATGATTTACATTCATTCAATCATTCATTCATTATACACCTCAGCTGTAGGTGGGGAACACCTCAGCTTTTGTGCCACAAGATTTGCAAGAGCAAATGGGCTTGTTTACGATCTTTATGAGCGTCGGAACTTCCTCCATGGTATGAGACTTGGCTCATTTACTTATAGGTACCGAAATGTTGAAATAACTTGTGCTTATATAAGCTTCTAATAGATTCACAGTGGAACTCGTATCTATTCTACATGTTTGCTCAGTAAAGGTTGGCAATTTTCAACTTATCCCAGACGCCACTGCGATTCACCAGCCCACTTGCTGAGACGTGATCCTAGCACAGGTTCAGTAGATTCCGTTACGTTCACCAACGTCAATGATGACAACAATAAAAATGAACAGAGCTTGAAAAACCGCGAATGGGGTTGTTGCGAGTGTTAAAAATGCGTTGATTGAGACAAACATGATCCAATTGACAGAATGCAGTGAGTTCGCTTGCCAGGATTTACTCGTTCTCAGTGTTGCTTTGCCGTGGTTCTGTGGGTCGCGACACCGCGAAACACATTCAGCTTTAACTCAACTGAAAGGGCATAGGAACACAAACTGTCTGTGAGTGGATTATCTCAACTGCGAGAAACACTGAACTGAATGCATAGCGAAGTTATTCCTTGGCTTTTTCGAATAGAGTATCCCATCTCTGTTTTGGTCGACTCCATGCTCTCTTTGTGGGAGTATGGTGTACATTTTAGTTGACCTTGTTGTTGTCTAGTTCCTTCAGTCATACTTTTCCCTGGCCCCTTCGGATAACTGGACAACCTTAGGTAGGCCATTATATGCATACGAAGAACGCGTTTTAGCTGACCTAGGTGGTCTATTTTCAGTGGACCATCAACCTCAGCTCTGGATTATTTATTGTACAACAATCTTCGTCGGATATCCGCACTGTTCCTTAGTTTTCCCCATCAGATTCGAGCGATACCGTTAATAATTTCAGCAGGTAGGGGCTTATTACTTTTTGAATACATTGACGCTGGCCTTACTGCGGTGTGCACTTAGCGGATGAGCAGACATTCCACCATCTTCAAAGATGACAGGCTATGCGAATTTACGACAGGATTTTGGATGAACCCAATGATTTGGCTTCCAGATAAGTGAAATGCTTTACTGATTCCTGAGATTGCGTCTTCGTAGCAAAAACCCATGGCCCATGCACTCAGTCTTATTACCGTCCTTTAAACTTCCGGAATACAAATCACATGCCGGGATTGCAGCGCTGCGCATCAGCATACACGGTACCACTCGCATTACAGTTGCGTATGTTTCGATGTGCTAGAGGAGCGAAAAATACAGGCATGCTTTGGTAGCCATTCGTAACTGCAAACTTTCGCTTTGCTCGGATGGTACACTGATGTTTGTTTACTGCATCATTTGGCTGCCACTTTTGGCTAATTGGAGTCTTTTTCTCTGCCTTTAGATCGCAGCCCTACTCTGACGCTAACACTCACCTTCCGCTCTGTGTGTGCACCTGATTGGTTACTTGTTTGTTCAGGCTTTATTGGCTTTACTTGTCCACACTCCTTCCGTACTCTGACTGACTTTCACGTTTGCGCGTTATGCTATATAAAAGAACCCATTGAATCCTTGTCCCCGGTCTTTCGTGTTCTCACTACGGTTAGTGGGTGGAAGCAGTCGCGGGGCTCCGACACAACATTTGTGGTGACGGACGTGGGATTCGATCCCACGCGAGGAAACCCCAATGGATTAGCACGATGAATACTGTCATTGCATATTCCGGATTTCTCAATCGGCTACGTGACCGCCTGCCCACGACGTTATAAAGCAAGAGAGCCGTTTCGATCACTGCCGTGAGAACATGTGAATAATTTGTGCAATTCTGACGCACTTATCCTGGGGGCTTTAGGCGGAGAATTCAGCCAATCCCTTCCTCTTCTACAAAAGTTACCGTTTGACGATTACAGAATTGAAATTCCTCGGCTCACTGGTAGTAGAGTGCACCGTAGGTTTCTCACAAGCGTTTCCGTTTTTCTCAGATTGTTTATCTAACGGTATTTCTTGCACTTTAAATGAACCCCATGGTGACCTCAGAAATCACCCCATTGTTCGAACTGCGCATGACGAAGTACAAACGACCTTAAAGGTTCCTTCACTGCACTTCACAGCCGTTACGGATACTTAAGGATAGGCTGGAAATCTTCTTCCTCCTCCTTCAAACTTACACACATACACATCCGGTTCATTGACGCCCCATCGCTCATGATTCATGTCCCATTATACCACCGCGTTATTTTTTCCACTCAAATACTTATACCAGTGTGGTGACCATTTGTTTAGTCGGCGTTGCCAGACTACTCGAAGTCGTGTATTACAGATCAACTACACTCATTTTCTGTAGCACTGCACATTCCATTTGGTATTGATTTACGTCAGTCAGTCATTGCGTCTACTTTTGTGCACGTTGAAACGTGTGCATTTTGCGTTCATCGGTGCAACGCTGGCTTTGCAATGCAATCCATTCGTATCTTTGTCTCTTGGTGATACCTCAAGAATTACTGTCTTTCCTTTCAACCCTCAGTGACTTCCGCTTTTCTACTTACAACCGCCGTTCCTGATTCGTTTTACTAATTATGATCGTGTTTCACACTGGTTTAGTTACGCTGTATTGTTTTTGTACAGTGCCCCGTCGTTGTTTTCTCGATTCGTTTTAAGCAGACGGCTAAGAGTGGAAAACCTAACTGTCTCAACGAAGTGCCGACGGTTTCCGGAACGCTTTCTTTCCCCTGCTGATATGGTGCCAAGTCACCGTTAATGTACCAAACGAACAGGAGTTCTCTCAAACGTGATTCTGCTCTTCGTCGTTCACTGGGAGGTATTGCCGCGGTACCGTTATGGCTCTCTTTTGGGGATGCTGATGAGACAGCTTCTAATCAGGATTCACTACGACTACAAAATTATACTCCCAGACCGTCTCCTTCAAACTATCCCCTCTCTCCAGTACTGCGTATACGTGTCTCTCAATTGCCCAGTTTGGACAGTCTTGGTTTCGCTTTGGACTCTTATGTGCATCCGTTATCCGAGTAAGCTTTTCCCTTTTGACCAGCGGTTCTTGTGTGTCTACTATCTGTTCTTCTTCACTTTACTTGCATACTGAAGGTTTTCTATTAACACCATCTGCGTTGAGATTTTCCCATCTGTACACTGGTTTCACATATATTCACGTGTGCAGTGTAAGCTCTCCCGAATTCTCATGGTTAGCGCCTTTCCTTTCTTAACTATCATTGTAGCACTGCAATGCGTTCCATTATTGTGCTTCCCCCTTGCGCTTGACGGCTGTTGGTGGATTCCAACAAAATGCCTGATTGATGCATTCACCGTGCTGTGTTGTGATGCATCTGCATGGCTCCTCGTAGGTGCTGGTGTACTCAAAAGCAAGTAGTCCTTAGCTCGTACTGCCTGGCTATCTCCACTGTCCACGTGCAAATCTACGAACCGCATCGAGTTGTCATGCTTATCCAACAAAATATTATCTCTATTTTCACTATGGGACTATACTTTGGATATCTACACGAGCTGTCCTAGCTATTTTATTGATCTCTCCAGCACCTTAATTGCTAGAAGCTATACAACAACTATGCGTTATCCGGATGGAGACTTTGGATGACTCACTAGCACCAAAGGAACTAACTGTGTCCTGGCCTTGTCCTGCAAGCGTATCTTGCACCTTACTTCTACGAGTTAATTTATGACGCCCGCTGAATCACAAACTCTGACTCCTAACCTCGTGTTTTCTAACCAGAATGACATTGTTACACTCAGAACTCAATATCATCTCGTACTACAGTTACCCAATGCATGGTGTAACCTACAATTTCACTTTTACTACAATGTAGATAACATATTGTTCCCAATTTGTCCAGGTGATCGTCGCATACGCTTAATTCGACAAACTACATCTTTTCAGAATTATTTGTAGGCGTTTACGCATATGTAGTCTTACTTTGCTGCTTAATCAGAGGAATACGACAGAAAAAGCCTAGCTGTTCCTTTTATGTTTCTTTGTCGTACTATAATGCGGATCGACACAACACCTTACGCTGCCTCAATCCGTTTCCATCAACGTCGGACTGTTTGTTGTCACTTTTCTCTGCCGTTTATGGTCGATCGTCTTGGACATTGCTCAAACAACAGTAATCTATTCTTCTAGTGGTATCGTATGCTATCCGCTGCCCGGTCAGAGGTTGGCTACGTCAAAGAATGTCGAGATTGTGGTTACACCTATGTCTGCCCATTTGTGGGACTACGAGTCTTGTTCCCCGATGGCGTCCGTTTGACGCAGTTGGTGACCTCACGCTACACCGCTTCTACTGCATTGAAGCTTGTGCATCTTCGACTAAGATTGAGCTTACGGAAATAAAAGGACAAATTTGTTGTTTTCGATGGCATAGTCTTGGATGTCCGCAGATAGTGTCGACAGACAGCCAGTCCCTTGTTTTCTCTTCATAATTTTCCTACTTGCAGCCCATTCGACAGTACGGTTCTGCATCGTCCATCGTTAAATAAATGAATAGATTCTATATTCCTCGACGTCGAGATGGATTGATCCAACAATAGGCTAGCTCAGTGAAGCAAATCAAATATTCAGCAGAAACTCCCCTCGTTAGCGTTAGCATAAGTACCTAAGGCATCGATGGGCTATTAAACTAGTGACCGAAGCATCACGTTCTTGCAAGCCGGCTTTCGTCGCGGTCGTGGCTGCATCTACCACATCTTCACTTTGCGTCAGTTGTTGGAGCACCGTCACACATACTGGCGGCCCACTGTAGTCGTGTTCCTCGACATTAAAGGTGCCTTCGATTCGGTTGATCGATGTGCCCTTTGGAATTTTCTACTCAGGAAAGTTGTGTCCGAGAAATATGTAAATATGATCCAAGCATTATACGCGCGTAGCACGGGCAAAGTTAGAGCTTACGGCAAGCTGGCGCCGCCCTTCAATATCTCCAGCGGTGTGAGACAAGGATGCCCGCTGTCACCTTTCCTCTTGAACTGCGCTATCGACAAAGTCATGAAGATTGCATTTATAGGACATGACTTGGAAGGTGTGGAACTACTCCCAGAAGAACGACTTCTCGACTTGGAGTATGCAGATGACGTTGCCCTAATCTGTGACAGCACCCAGACGTGCCAATCCTCACTGGACAGATTAGCATTGACTGTTAGCCGCTTCGGGCTTTTCTTCGCACCCTCGAAGTTCAAAGCGTTCCTCCAAGATTGGTCTGGACCGCCTCCTGCACTGACTCATGGTGGCGATAAGCTAGAAGTCGTTCAGAAATTCAACTACCTGGGAAGTTGTATCAACTCCTTTGGGATTAAAGATGAGATTACGAACCGTATAGCAAAAACTCGAAGTGCTTTTGCTAACCTTTGCCACCTATGGCGGCGGCGCGACATCCCTCTCGCCCTGAAGGGTAGAGTGTACAATGCATCGGTACGTTCGACCTTACTGTACGGTTGCGAAACCTGGTACCTAAGGTCGGCGGACATGAAGAGGCTAGTTAGGTTCGACCATCGGTGCCTTCGGAGTTTGGCTCACATATGGTGGGAACACCGCGTGAGCAACGAGCGTGTTCAACGCCTTGTTTACGGCCCAGGAAAAGGAACTGAACCACTCAGCACCGTTATTTCCCGCACCAGGCTCCGATGGCTGGGCCACGTGTTGCGCATGCCAGCTCACCGACTTCCTCGACGTTCGTTGTTTGCTCACCGGAGGTGTGGATGGAAGAAGAGGAGGGGTGGCCAAGCGATGACTTGGTCTAAAGAAATGAAGTCCCTCACTTCTGAGCTGGCCTCAGTTGGAGCGTCACGGCTTCCTGGTTGGGGTCCAAAAGACGATGAACACGTTTGGCTAGGTACACTTGCTGACATTGCAAGGAGCCGACCTCAGTGGCGTTCGTGCTGTGAGTTTCTTTATCCCTCCCCATCCATTTTAGTCTCCTCTCCAACCACGATCTCATCTCGTAGCGTAATATAATTTTACATTATAATTTTCCTTGTTGCCTATTAGCCGGCTGGTAACTTACCGGAATGATGACCATCCGTTGCTGGTAGCTCAGCTGGCATGCAACTGTTGTATTTACTTTCCTTTTCCTTTATGTATTGCAGCACAGTGGCTGAGGTGTTTCCCACCTCTAGCTAACGTGTATAATGATGTTGATGATCACGTTCTTGACTAGCCAATCGGAGCGGTCGAGTTTAAAACCTCCAATCAGAGCGACACGGTACGACCCCGGGGTCCATCACAGTTTTACTGTACTATGAATTGTTGCATACCGTTCAAATTGTCTCGATATCGTTTTAAAAATTCGCATTGGCTATGCAAGCACTACTGGATAAGCTGCATCAGCTTATCTTGCTGCACTCTTCGGCATGCTTTGCACCTTAAAAGTATGGCGTATTGTCGCAGGACTGGACCGATACACCATCGATTCTAGTTATTACCAAACGGCCACTGAAAGTGGCGCATCGGTTCACTGACCTCGGTAGCTGCGTCAAATCTGGTAATCTCACATATCAGTAAGGCCCGTTTGGCTTTCTGAAGACCTAACCATTTATGGAGACAACAGGATACCAGCTTGTCAGTGAACCGTAGGGTGTATAACGCTGCGGTAAGGCGTCTTACTGTATGGATCCGAGACCTGGCCAGTTCGCGGCGAAGACATAAAACGCTTTGCCGCGTTTGACCACGTGGTGCTGGCAAAGTATTGCTAGCGTTTTGCGGGAACACCGCGTGAGCAGTGCTGAGGTCCGCCAGTTGGTTTTTGGCAACAAGCCTTCTGATGCATCTCTCGAGTGTTTGATAAATCTTAATCGTTTACGTTGGCTAGGCCATGTCCCCCGTATGCCCGTTGACCGACTTCCTTTGCTTACGTTATACGCCATGTCTACACGAAGTTGGGCGAAACTGCGAAATGATTAGTCCATGGTGTGACCTAGCGGCATGAAGAAATTGACTGATACACTTGATCTGGCTGGTGCATGCCATCTTCGTGGGGCGGGGAGCGTCGGGGTGGTTCACATCAATGGTTGGAAACCGTATCAGACATGGCGCAGTCAGTGGCGTACCTGCACTCGTTTTCTTGTATCTAGCTGTTTAACTTCATTCCACCCTTATTGCTTAGAGCACCTCGATTCCATTTTTTGTACTCCATTTGCGTTCAATCTCATTTTCTTACCTTTGTTTTTGGTTAGTTATTCCGACGATGTGCGTCGTGGCAACTGGATCCAGCACATTTCGGTGCTTGGATCATAGTTATTTAGCTGAGCTGGACTGTACTAAACTACTGTTTCCATAGGATGGGAAGTGGGGTACGTCTGGCCCAAGATTGTGACTGTATGTGGATTGGGAAATTCCCGAGGCGAGCTACGCGCAATCTTGCGCTTTGTAATCATTATTGTGTTTTTTATCCTTACATTCCAAAGTCTGCGACCACAGTCTGCAACAAATGTGTTGCAGCGCGTTTGCATCTTACTGACCGAGGAGTATTTGGTTTGAGGTAGTTTTTGGCAAACCACTGAGCAAAGTTAAATTCTCATTCACCAACAGAGCTATTTGACGTGCGACATCTTAGGATTGACCATAAATATCTGTTGCATCGTTTATCGTTTTGTCAACTATAGTCGCCCCGTTCAATCACTACTCACTGCTACCATCATTCCGCTTTCTTTGGTGTTAGTTTCAGGAAATTCTTGTTCACTTCGTTTCACACAATGCTCCAACGCCTTGGATTACATACCTTTCCCTCAGTCGGAGCAACGATTCAGCTCTTATAGACTGTTTCGGGCGGACATGTGGCTGGTCGAATTCCGTTCGACTTAGTCCTCCAACGGCATAGTAGCTAAGGTGTTTCCCATCTCTAGCTAACGTGTATGATGAATGATGATTAGTCCTCCAACGGTTCTTGCTCACTGTACCGAGGTGAACCCGAACACCGCACGACTACTCGCGACTCCGAGAGATAAAAGACGATGACCTTAACCCGTTACTGCCTACTGTTATCTGTAGGCAACATAACAGAAAATTGTCCGTCAACTTACTTTCACAAAGTTTTTCATATATAACGATTAAGTTCCCTTGATGGAATAGTTATGTACGGTTTAGTTCGATTCTCTATCCTTTTGTTTGACCGCAAAATCCTTTTTTGAACGCCAACACAGAGGAGTGATTTGGAGGGGAATCAGCATGCCTTCGCTTTAGACTGCACATACTCCATGCAGGAAAGGGTTAAGCGAAGCGCTTTTGCGGTTCAAGCGCAGAATGAACACGGTCTCTACAGCCCAGTATTTATAGAACCAGTGGCCTCATCATTGGGATGGTGGCGTGGTTGCCACTGCTAATTGAACGAACGTGGTTAGCAGAGTGACTTAATTACCACCTGACAACGGTAGCATCAAGGCGATCACGCAAACGGTGGAATGGTAACAGTTTTTTGGGTAAAACAGAGATACTTACCAACTGATAACGTTGTTACGCATAACGCATCGCGTAACCGTTTCACAGCAACATGAATGGATTGAAAGACGAGAGATGCGTCCGCCGCGAGGTCTCCACAACTTACACTCAACAAATATGCATGTGTTTTCTCACCGGTATAACTCACTCCATAAAAGTCCCTTCCTTAATTGCCTTGCCCACAAGGTTTGCCACTTAGGAGGCTTATTTTCTTGTGCCAACTACTGCTACGTTATCCACTCGATGTTACAACAGCCGTGATGTCGAACGGGCGCTTTGGAGTATGCGTCTGCGGTTTCGTTATTTTATTGAGATCAACCACTGTTCATCTTTGGACAGCCATTTGACTTCACTTATACATTGAGTACGCTCACCACTGGGAAACCAATTGTTTATGTTTCCGTGTCTTGTATCATTCTACTGTTCGGTTTCGTGCTCCGGCTCCTTATTTTCAACGGTAACCGAGGCAAATGAGGTGTGCAAAATGGCACAAGATGGTCAGAAATCCAAAAAAAAGAAATAATTAAGGTATGACCACCTGCTCCAGTGGGGAATAGATAGAAGCAATTGACTGAGTGCAAAAATCGTGCTATATTCTCGAAAGCAACATTCTGGGGCCCCAACCATGTGATGGGCATGCACTAGCTCGGCCATATTTCTCCTTGGTCTGAAGCGTCATCATACCGAGTCAGTATTGACAGACAGACAAGCGATGCGAGTTCAGCGGGCGGCTCAACGGGGTACCGAACACCAATGGCAAGTGATAGCAATGCGCACCCCTTGCCGCTACCAGACGGGAGCAATGCCTCACAGTTAACGATATCACACTCTCATTCTTTTTAACGCACAACGACACTATTGCATTTGCGCTCTCACATGCCACACTGCAGCGTTGTGCACTCCCTTATCTTGATGGTGATTTAGTAAGTTGAAGGCCACTCAGCCTTATGTGCTTGCGCTCGTATATGCCTTATCGGCACTCTAACTGACACAGGGTGTGTTACAGTGTCTTGGTTATATGAACCTATCGACCACCTCGGACATCAGGGATACACTGGGACACAGACTGCTGAATTCATCGTGGCCTCTAGGTCCGGGACTACGGCAGTGGTCGGTAGTCTGTGCGTTTACCGTTCAAGCGCTTAGCTGCTGCTCTGTAATCCTGCGTAGTTGTGATTGCTTTCACTTTTTATTAGGCCCTGAATTGTTGTATTGTAGCTCTCTTCGGGTTGGAACACAGTCTCACCAGAATCATCGCATCAACTCTTTTCGCCGTTGTCTCTTTTCAAAGATGACGTTGAGGAATTTCATTGTCGGTCTCACGGTACTCCTTCAGTGTCTACCACTATGGTGTTGTAGCCTGCATTTAATCCGAAACCTACGAATCATCAGCGAGAAATGTCGATGTTTTGCTTCATCCTCTGCTTCCTTCTGACCTCTTTGGTTATAAGCAACAAGGCCTTATTACCCCGGATAGACCTAGACAATTCAAGAAACCCTGGCAACCCAGCTCGCCCTCTTGGCGGCTACTCGAAATCTGCCGTACAGTCTTTCCTTTAGTGCGTTTTACAGTAACTGCTTTTCATTCTTTTCCTCAATCATCTGACTTCCTGCGGCCTACCTTTTGCTCACATCCGCTTTCGTACGTTAACCAAGCGGGAGCTCTCCACTTGTCGTTTTGGAGACCTGCTGCCTCGATGAAATGCTTTCGCTCGCATCATCACTTTTGCTGCGCTCTTCTTCCTCCAGCCCTCTTCAAATTCGGAGGCTCTGCTCTTGTTGATGCTTTACATGAATTACTAGTGAAACTGTGGGAGCAGGAGACTGTCCCAACCGACTGGAGCCGCTCCGTTATTGTTCCCATCTTTAAAGGCGGCTCGCGCTCGGAATGCGGCAACCATAGAGGAATCAGTCTGATCTCCATCGCCTCCAAATTACTCGCCTCCATAATTCTTCACAGACTGACTGGCGCTCGTGAAAGCCAGATTCGTGAGGAGCAAGCCGGGTTTCGTCGTGGTCGTGGCTGCATCGACCACATCTTCATCTTGCGTCAGTTGTTGGAGCACCGTCACACATATTGGCGGTCAACCCTAGTCGTGTTCCTCGACATCAAAGGTGCCTTCGATTCGGTTGATCGATGTGCCTTTGGAATTGTTTACTCAGGAAAGGTGTACCCGAGAAATATGTTAATATTATCCGAGCATTATGCGCGCGTAGCTCAAGCAGAATGAGGACTTACGACAAGCTGTCGCCACCCTTCAATATCTCCAGCGGTGTGAGACAAGGATGCCCGCTGTCACCTTTCCTTTTGAACTGCGCTATCGACAAAGTCATGAAGATTGCATTTATAGGACATGACTTGGAAGGTGTGGAACTACTCCCAGAAGAACGACTTCTCGACTTGGAGTATGCATACAACATTGCCCTCATCTGTGACAGCTCTCAAATGTGCCAAGCCTCGCTGGACAGATTAGCACTGGCTGTCAGCCGCTTCGGGCTTTTCTTCGCACCCTCGAAGTTCAAAGCGTTCCTCCAAGATTGGTCTGGACCGCCTCCTGCACTGACTCATGGTGGCGATAAGCTAGAAGTCGTTCAGAAATTCAACTACCTGGGAAGGTGTATCAGCGCCCTTGGGATCGAAGACGAGATCACGAGCCGTATAGCAAAAGCTCGAAGTGCTTTTGCTAACCTTTGCCACCTATGGCGGCGGCGCGACATCCCTCTCGCCCTGAAGGGTAGAGTGTACAATGCATCGGTACGTTCGACCTTACTGTACGGTTGTGAAACCTGGTACCTAAGATCGGCGGACATGAAGAGGCTAGTTAGGTTCGACCGTCGGTGCCTTCGGAGTTTGGCTCACATATGGTGGGAACACCGCGTGAGCAACGAGCGTGTTCAACGCCTTGTTTACGGCCCAGGAAAAGGAACTGAACCACTCAGCACCGTTATTTCCCGCACCAGGCTCCGATGGCTGGGCCACGTGTTACGCATGCCAGCCCACCGACTCCCTCGACGCGCGTTGTTTGCTCACCGGGGATGTGGGTGGAAAAAGAGGAGAGGTGGCAGTGCGATGACTTGGTCGAGAGTAATGAAGTCCCTCACTTCGGAGCTGGCCTCGGTTGGAGCGTCACGGGCTCCCTGGTTGGGGTCCAAAAGACGGTGAACACGTTTGGCTGGATACACTTGCTGATATGGCAAGGAGCCGACCTCAGTGGCATTCCTGCTGTGAGTTTTTGTGTCCCTCCTCCATCTACGATCTCATTTCGTAGGGTAAAACAATAAATTTTTTCTTTTTGCCTAGTAGTTGGCTGGTAACTTACCGGAACGATGCCCATCCGTTGCTGGTAGCTCAGCTGGCATGCAACTGTTGTATCTATTTATCCTTTGTGTATTGTATTATATGTATGTATGTATGTATTTCCTTCATGTATTGCGGCAAAATAGCGGAGGTGTTTTCCCACCTCTAGCTGACGTGTATAATGATGATGACTGCGCTTTTTTATGGCTTTTATATCGCTCAAATCCGACGCATCCTTCACAGTCACTCGTAGAAGCAGGTTGCGTTTGTGCCAGGTCTGTACACCCTTTCTTGTAGCTGAATACCGTCATTGTATTTCCACCTCGCTGTTTCGAATATTTACTCTCCAAGCTGTTCTTCTTTATCTTGTCTACTGACCAGATTGTTCATTTTCACTGGATAGTAGTCTAATCTGTGTAACCTCGTCGGGGCCAATAGTTCTGTTTTACATTCTCACTTTTGCCCTTCTTTCTTTCAGCGAATTTGTCGGATTGCGGCTCTGTGACCGTTTCAGGAGTCGTCAGATACATTTCGAAACTCGAAAGAATTGCCCACTTCGCGTCGGCGATGTGATTGTTATGGTGAATCAGCATAAATTATCCACAATGCACGAGTCTCAGTGAGTTAACTGATTTACGCACGGTCTTGCTAATCAGTCTTCCGACATCATTTGTCACGTCTTGTTTACCTTCGGTTGTGATTATTTATTATTTAGACCTGAGGACTGAAAACCATTGATATCTGCACTGCCGCACTGCCTTGTTTTGAGCACTACAACAACAGTGACTGTCACTCCGAAACTGGCCATGTTGAACTGCGCTGCTGTCTATTCTCCTGCTTTGTGGTGTATTGTGTTTCAGTGAGAGTTTGCAGCAAAATGTCACCCTCTCATCAGTGTCTTGGTGCACATATCGATCGTCTGTTTAATTCTTCTTTCCAAAACCCTACAGTGTTTCTGTTCACCTTGTCTCTTACTGGAGTTTCCTTATGGGCGCTTGTCCGGTAACATAGATGTTTCAATCCCTGTTTGTTGCTCGAAAGAGGTTGTTGCCTAACAAAAACAAATTGAACACTGATTCGCGTACAACTGCTGCTTGTGTGCTTTTGCTCCTACTTTATCTCTGATTGACGCTAGTGAAGCGTATACGGTTGTCCTTCAAAATCTGTCTTTCACCACTTTCCAACGAATGTTATGTGTTTTATACATGCTTCATAAAGGATTTAATAACCGCCGTACTTCAGCATTCATTTCGATTACCAAACTGCATGGCGGTATTCTGTTTCCATCACACAGGGCTATACGCTATGTGTACAACGCTTTCCGAGATGCGCGACAGTACATCGTGGAATTCGGCGTATATCGCTTACCGGAGGCTTTTGAACCTTCCTACGAAACGAAGAAGAAGCAGTGGCATGCTGACGAAGGTATCACTTCAACTGGAAGAGCTTATGGCACCATTCAACGCTCAGCCACCTTTTTGCCTCCTTCGCTGACGGACACATCTCTCGAGCAGCATCGGCCCAGGCGAACATCGCGGTCCCCTGTTAGTGCGAGACACGAATGTGAGCAATATTATGTGTAAACAACATGCTAGTATTACATTATATTGCACTTCACCCTCCACATCACCGCATGATTACTGGTTTTACCACTCAAAACCTTTGCAATAACTAGCATTGCCACGGTCCAGGCGTGTCCACTTGCACTAACATTATCGACAGAGCGCATCTTTACCGTGTGTCACCATAAAACCTAAATAACTACCATCGAGGAATTGGAAGTGCACCTTGTCTGAACTTAATGTGTAATCTCAGGGTCATTAACGGTGTCCAAGCTGAAGGCGGGTAAACATTATCAGGAACGATCGAACGCTTTCCCATTCTGCGAAAACAAGGCGGAATCGGCGAGGTAACGTCCTTGCACCCTTCACTGCATGGTACCACGAAAATTTAAACAAGCCTTATAGTTGAAAAACGGTAGTTCACTCACCACAGGCCGGTTGCGATTCATGTCCTATAAGCCAACGACTAGAGTACAGAGTGAGCAACGTGAACCACAGCCAAGAAATCGAGACGGACAATGCAATGACCATGGAGTTTGTTTCACGCAGCCTGGAAAGCGATTGGTCCCCTCTAGTATTACGCTATCCAATGCCCTTCAGACAAAGCAAAGTCCCAATTGGAGGTTTTTTTAATCATTTTCCTCTCAACACTGAAATCCCACTAGCCTGAGCAGCGACTGAAAATCACGGTCTAATGCTTAACAGCTGATGACTTGATCATCAAGCCATTGTGATACTTGAGCAAAGCAACTTTGAAAACAAAGTCTCCTCGATGATCGGTGAGTGACTGCAACTAGCATGTGGTCAGCTCAACGCAACAACGCAGGTTTAACAAGACCACCGACCGCCAAGTACGCGGATACGTACTTCATCGTTGAGGACACGCTGGTGGCAACCGACTATACGGATGTATTGTAGGCAACAATGGCCCCGAATGTTCTTGGGCTCTTCAGACTGAAGGAGCCAAGTCTCATCACCGCGCCCCCCGTGACCTGAGGACATAACAGTGTACATCCCCTTCTGACACCAAAACAATCACTGAGTCATGAAGGTAGTTCTAACCATCGCGGTACATGAATTTACCTCCACAGTTGTGTCTCCGTCGCTACTGGTGTGGCGGCCAATGTATGCGATTTGTTCAACAGTCTTTAGTTCTTCATCGTCACTAGTCAAAGAGATCAGCGAATGACTGATGCTTCGCAACAGCGATTTGCGCTGTACTACGTGCGTACCGAAGAATGAGATCATTCGCGACTATAAAGCGATGAAATCTACGATAATTAAGTCATCCTGTTTCAAGCAAATGTAATGTTGACTCAATAAACCTCAAATTGCAGCCTGTTGAATCGGCATACTCTTGAGAATGACTGCAATAGCAGTTGTCCTCTGCATCTAGCGAAAAAGTTGATGTGTTTCCGAAGGCTTTCTAGACGACCGGTTAATGTATATGTTATGCTACATAACGTTTCGCTTTTGACTTTAATGCTTCTTCAGGCAAACTGAATTGGCTTAACATTGGCATTTTATAACACAAGAACTGGGTCTGACTATGGGATATCCAATAGCGCCTTATTGGCAAATATATACATGGAAGAGTTTGAAACGAAGGCATTGCCAAATTTCCGCGTCGCTCTGAGAGTATGGTGGCGCTACTTGGACGACATTTTCGCGATTATAAAAAGGATAGCAAAGATGAATTCTTATAGTATTTGAACTCCATTGACGATGCGATAAAGTTCACTATGGAAATTGAGTCGCAGAGTGGTACACTCCCGTTCCTTGATTATCTGGTCCACAGGAGCGAAGGAACGTTAAAATACGACAATGTACCACAAACCGGTGGACACAGATGGGGTACTATAGTTCAGGCCACCAGAAGCACGTTTTTGTGGGAATCGCCTCATCAGTGTTTCCCAGAGCGAGTGCTCTGTGCACGGAGGAGTTAGAAAAGCAGCACTGAGGGAGACGATGAATAACTTTGAGGCGATTGGTGTAACGACAAATACAGTACTGTCTTAACCCACGCGCAAGACCAATCACAGTGGATAGCGACAGTGTGTATTCCGTATAAAAAGGGAACTTCGGAAGCGATTCGAAGACTACTGAACAATGAGTAGAGACGGATAGTTTTCCAGAAGGTCAAATGCTACGGTCGACGGTTGCGTATCTGAAGGATTCCCTTCTCTTAGATGAACAACTAACTGCATTTACAAAATTCCATGTAATGATCGTACGCACACGAATTTTAGGACATCGGCGTCACGTATCACGACCTCTAAGAAGCGAGCTCGATTATAGTGCTCTGCTCAGAGACTCGTCACTAGCATTAGATGCGTTAGACACAGGGCACAAAATTAAGTTCAAAAATGTCGAGGTTATCAGGAAGGGATTGCGGTCATCCCAACCATGGCTAATTTCTGAAGCTATAGAAATAACCAAGACTAACAACTGCCTGAATAGTATGGATGGAGTAGGGCTGTCTAGTGCCTGGCGTCCAGTCTTATTGCTGCCAGTTTGATAAGCATCGGCGGATGGATCCGAGCTCCGAATGGACTGTAAACGCTCCCTCCACCAAATTCCTAAGTATCCAAGACAAGTTCCATCGGTGACCAAGTTCCTCCCAACGGACCACTCAAGATTGCCGACCACACATGTAACTACTCTTTGACCAGCATTTTTGTTCCCCATTTGACCCTAGCTGAAACAAACCGCGGAGTACACACGAATCTAGTGACTTTTGACCGTTGTAACTTTTCACCAATCAACTGCAAGTTTATTAGTCTCTGTATGTAGCTTACCCATGGTCGTTATGAAATGCCCATCTTAAGCTAATTTACTTCCCCCGGAAGGAGCTTTTGAGTCAAAAGCGAAACGTTGTGTGGAATAATAAAACAGTAACCGGTCGTCTACCAAGCCTTCTGAAACAATAGCTTCCCGATCGGTTCCAAATATATTCCAAGGGGTCGAGGTGTATTCCTCCAGTTGGTACTATTTTTCAGGGGAGCCTTGTCGAACCAAATGTTTTCTATTCATCTTTACCTTCTCATGTACGCACAGCTAGCTTGAACTCAGCATTCTGCGCTCATCTGTACTCCTCGAAACGATATTAACATTCGACTTGCCAGACCCCATGCCGACTACATACATTGACGTATTTGGCACAAGATAGCATCGGTTCATCTGTAGTGCTTTCCGATTCCGACTACTCCTTCATGCAAGCCAGCGCACCATTCATTGCCGGTTCACGATCGACGCTTCTAAATTCCGAGGTGGCATAATCAATCCGAATAACAAGGCAAATTGTTACTGACCAATGATGTGAATGAACGTTTTGTCAATTGGAATCGCCTCCATTAACCCGTAAAAACGAACTTCGGCGCCTCTTATCCACTCAACTTTGGGCGCTTTTGCAACGCTTAGATTTCGTGGACATTAGTCACTCCGATTGAGGCACGCACAATGGTTCCGATTGGAGGCCAGTTTCAGGGCACTCTTAACACCCTGAGCCTCCATTCGATTGGGTTTTTGCATTAACAAAGTATTTCTAGATAGATAAAGTATGTCAAAGGAAGGCCGGTGCTTTGTGAAGAGCCCTAAGTTGTAACTCAGTTGGCCTTTGGTGAGTGAATAGAGGGTCAGAACGATGACTGTTATCTGTTCCTAGGGCCACTGACTTGATGGTTAGGATGAGAAAGCGGCTAGCAACAAATCGCCTGAGCATACGCTGAGTGTTATCACCACAACTGGGGACATTTAATAGACCCAACGTAACCTGGACTGTTGAATCGAGTGCAAACACTTCACTTGGATGGCCACTGCTAGCAGAGATGGGCGGCAGATCACTTGCATTCAATCTACAAGCTAATTGTTTGAATGAGCCAATCTTGTGACTCATACGGATAATTTTGGCAAATATCGCGACTAAGCCTCTGGAGTGGCCGCTGTTCGCCTCGTGAAAACTCATTTCGCTTTCCCAGCCACCGTACGCTTAACAGACATGACCACTCCACTCTGAGGACATTGGAATTATTGACATTGTTAATCACATGTGTCTTCCACGCGTTATTTATATTAGATAAATGTGTCTAGCTGTAAGTAATGCACCTGTCTGCCATTTGGGATGTATCAGCGGATGTATCCCTAGTGACTTCCTTCTTAAACTGGAACTGCGTTGTGTACTTCATGCACTTCCCGACCTATCTCCGCGTATATAGTTCCTCGGCAAGTACTTCTGATTTGGTGAACAGTTGCATGGTTAGTCACTAGCTAAAACGGAGTCTGGGAGCCTGGTTGATCCGGTCATTTCATGAGATCCGGATGGCAATGAAGTGAGTGACTATTAGATGCCGTTCCAGCTGTTCGCGGTGTTAGGCTCAGGAAGGTTTCCATCAGTGAGACAACTAAGGAAGCACCATCACCTTGGCCTACAATGTGGAATGTAGTATGGACCGAGGAGGGAACTTGCCGCTTGATGTTTATGTGGCGTTGATTGAACCATGCTCGCTTAACATAGCGATGAATGTGAGATACGAAACGCGAACTCGCCTCTCTAATCATGTTCGCGCTTCGATCCTATCCGTGCTAGTTTAGAATCGTTTGTCTAATACAGTCAATAGGCTCATCTGTTAGAACATGTATTGATAGGAACTGTCCCAGCCAACTGAGACGAATCGATCGACTTAGCACTGTTCAAGAAACGAGCAGCTTATTTGCTATTCATCACATGAGTATGTTCGTTAGGTCCATGGTGAGCAGTTTACTGGCCTCCACCCTAGTTTATCGCCATACTGTGAAGCAAAATCCTCGTATGGAGGAACAGCGGATAGGCCTTCAGCCGGGGGTGGTAGTACGTAGGTTACACTTCACGGTAGATGGCAGAGGAAGTTGGAGTTACTTCAGACTACGCTTGTGGGCAAATCGGTCAACACTAAATTAAGTTTTAAGAGTCATCTCGTCCTTTCCTCTTGGTAGCTGCATACATGGTACCTTGTGTGTTAACCT